TTTACACACCTATAATATTCAAATAACGGAACTTAACAAAAAAAGGGGATACAGATGAATGTCCATTTTGTATCTGTGTATTCAAAATGGTTAGGATATATAGTTACATTCTCTTAATGAATAGAGGGATTAGTTCTAATGGTGTTTGTAAATAGAATATCATGTCGGCATCTTGTACAGCAATTAACCACTAGGAAGAATGTATGTAATGTGTTAATTATTGAAACTGTCCTACCAATTTGATTTGTTTTTTATTTTTATTTATTTTTTAATTTATTTTTACAGCACTGGGGATTGAACTCAAGACCTTGCGCTTACCAGGCAAGTGCTTGTTCAACTGAGCTATCTCCCCGGCCCATACCAATTTGATTTGAAGCTGTCTAATTGCTATTTGTTTCTCAATAAAATTATGGGGGAAAAAAAGAAAACTGGAAAAGGAAAAAAAAAAGAATAGTTTCATTCAGGAAATATAGTAGATGTACACAAATTTAAAAAAGAAAGAAAGAAAGAAATGTAATAGCTTTTAAAATCCAAAGTTATTATCACTGTCCAGGAAAGGTGTGAACCCCCCCCCCCCAAGTTCTCAGAGGTGGAGTAATCTGGCCTTTCATTCGTGGAAAGACCTCTTTGAGCATCCATGGACCTGGTACCATGACGGGCACTGCACACACATCCCCTGCTTTAAACCTCACCACACTCCAGGACAGTCCGTGTTGTTGATGACAACATCTTACAGATGAAGAAATGGAAGCTCAGGGGACTGAGTTGCCACCCATGCCATCATGTATCCTTTCACCCAACTTTTACTAAAAGAGCCAAGTCAGGCTCAGGGCCAAGTGCCGAGAAGAAGATGAACAAGTCCTTCAGGAGCCGTGCCCATAAATTGTTTTAATAACAACTCAGTACATGCTTCAACAGACAAGATACAGTGGGAGCCAGAGAAGGAGTAACTGGCTCTCTAGAAACCATGGAAACAGGGAGCTGACCTCCTGGGGGCCTTACACCATTAAGGTGCCCCGTGGATCGTGCAGATGCGACAATGATCATAAGGCCTGGGTCCAAGTCTCACATCAGTCAAGGCTTTGCTGTGTATTTCTAGGAAACCTCTTTTGCTCCTAAGACTCACTATCTACCTGGAAAATTTAAAGTTTAGGTGGGCCTGAGATCTTTGCCCCACCCCCACCCCGCATGTCACATACTGGTATATTCATGCTGGAGCCTACCCTAACCTGGTGTCTAAGACCCTAAAAACTAGACGAAGCATCAAACTTCCCGCCCCTGCACAGCAGTCAACCTGGGGCGGTGCCTGGGTGCTAGGGGCGGGACTCCGTCAGAGGGCGGGGCAAAGGGCTAGGCTGGGGTGCAGGCCCCGCCCAGAAGCCGTTCATCCAGTCAGTAACAGCGGGGGCGGCGATATCCCCGCCTTTCGCAAGGAGCCGCTCGCGCAGAGAGCGCGCTGCGCAGGTCTTGGAGCCGGCGTCCGCCAGGTGCGCGTGGTCTTGTGGTGCGGAGCAGTGCCCGCGGAGAGCGCAGACTGCTGACCGGCGCGCGGAGCGTCCTGGGCTGGGCTGGGAGAAGGGTCGCATTCGGTTCTCCTTTGCCTGGCCGAGCCGCGCGGTGCCGGAGGCCCCCACCTTAGAAGAGCAGCTGACCCCGGCCGGGGGCGCCCTTCGCGCGGACTGCCCACCGCTGCCATGGCCGACCACCTGATGCTCGCGGAAGGCTACCGCCCGCTGCAGAGGCCGCCTGCGGCCGCTGCCGCTCACAACCCTCGCACGCTCCGGACTCTCCAGCCTTACGCGGACCCGGGCCTGGTCGGCGGGCTGCGGCCACAGGGGGCTCCGCTGGGACAGCCGCCTGCTCCACCCGGGGCCCTGGCATACGGGGCTTTCGGGCCCCCCTTCTCTTTTCAGCCCATTCCCGCGGGGCCGCCGCCAGCCCCTGGCAGCGCGCACCTGCAGCAGGTGGCCACGCTGTACCCGGGTCGCCAGAGCGCTCCCCTGGGCGCTGCCGGGGCCCCCCTGGGCCTGCAGCCCACGCCCGGCGCCGCGGCCCCTCCGCCGCCCGCGCACGCCCTGGGCGGTGTGGACGCCGAACTCATCGACGAGGAGGCGCTGACGTCGCTGGAGCTAGAGCTCGGGCTGCACCGCGTGCGTGAGCTCCCGGAGCTCTTCCTGGGCCAGAGCGAGTTTGACTGCTTCTCGGACCTGGGGTCGGCGCCACCCGCGGGCTCTGTGAGCTGCTGAGAGCCCCCGGCGCCCAAAAGAAGAAGCGGGTCTGAGTGCCCGCCGGACTCCGCAGCCTCCCCGCGCGCACCCTCTCCAAGGGCGGCGGCCGTGGTGAGCGCGAAAGCCCCGCGTCAGGCGGGACGCCGGGCCTGCCTCGAGGCCCTGCCTACTGCAGGACGAATTTGACTTCTGACCTGAGCCTCAGCTGGAAAGTGAAGGAGACTGTTGTGACTCGACGTTCTTAGATTCTGAGTTCTGTCTCTTTCCTACCCTCCACCAGTCCCCATTCTGAGCCATTACAGGCCTCTGCCTGGTGCCCCCACTCCTCGAACAGACCCCACTACCGGGATTGGGTCCCCGGAGCCACCGTCCTCAAGCCTCCACCCTTGCTTCCTCATCAGCCTGAGTTGGAGAAGATGTACAGCCTTGACCCTTGCGGAGTGGAACAGTGCCCCACCTGGCCTCCAAAACCGAAATAAAACTGGGTCACTCTGCGATCTTGAGTTTTCATTTCCTTATCATCTCAATTCAGCTATATTTAGCTTCCACTGTTCTGAGACTGTTGAAAACTCTCCGGTGGGATGGGTGCCACAGTACCTAGCAGTGCCCAGGACAGGAAATTGACAGTTTGTTTTTTTTTCTCCTCAAAAATATCTTGTGAGTTATGCAATCATGCTGTCACAACGTGGAAGGCAGAGGCTGTAGCTGGGTGGTAGCATAAGCATTGAATTTCCCAGCTTGTAGGGTGGGGAGAGCTGGGAGTGCTTGGAAATTTAGCGGGCCTGGCTCTGGCCCCTGCAAATTGTTGCTAACTTTATTCCAGGCCCTGTACCAGTAGGTACAAGTCCTCATGGAGTCATAGGCTATGTGGAATGAGGTAAGTAACAGACCTGGGCATAAATACTCTTGGTACAAGAGAGTGCGATCCAGAAAACAGGTGGACTGGGCAAGCCTGCAAGCTGAGAGCAGGGAGCAGTTCAGCTGGCTCCAGCAGGGATCATTCAGCTTCAGGGAAGTGAGAACATTTGATATGAGAGGCCTGGGTTGATGAGTGTGTTTTGGAAGCTGGAGAAGAGTTTTTAGAAGGCAGGGACTTTAGAAGTGCAGCGAATATATGGGAAAGCGTGCATGTCTAGAAGGGACAAGAAAGGTCTAACAGCTTTAGTGTGGCGAGGTCTGCAATCATCCTTCCACAGGTGAGGGATGTGAAGGATGTACCAGCTAAAATTTCAGGCACACCCAGCTCTCCCCACCCTACAAGCTGAGAAATTCAGTGCTTATGCTACCACCCAGCTACAGCCTCTGCCTTCCACGTTGTGAGGGATGTGTGCCAAGCTTGGCAGGATTTAGCTGAGTCCTGATCACCCCTATGAGTTCCTGGCCGCCCCCTGCTGGCTCTTTATAGAAAGACCTTCAGGTGTGTGGAGAAAGGCAGGAAGACAGATGCAGGAGGAGGCCCAGCCAGAGGTGCTGCGGTGTTCGAATGAGACTGGGGCATTATCAGGAGACATGGATTCTAGAGATTAGAGAGGAAAAAAAGGCTGAGGTCTTCTCTTTGAGTGGTTGGAGGGCCGGGGAGATAGATGAGTGGTTGGGCTTTATCCTAGTGCCAAGTTGCTTGTCAGTGGGACTCCAGCAGCCTACAAGTTCTCGTAAGGCTTTGGGGAGAGAAGGACTGCCCTGAGCTCTGTGCTCAGAGAAGCCAGTGTTTACTCTGGTTTTTCCCCAGGACCCCAGAATACAAATACAACCGAGGGGCTGACCTGGGACAGGAAAGTTTGGTCCTGGTCTGAACACTACCTGTACTCCCTTCTCCCTGGGCCTCAGTTTCTCCAGTAGTAAAATAAGAGTAATATCTCTGTCCTGGTTCTTTTCAAGGCAACAAGCCTCAACATAAGTGAGGAACAAATGAGGGATAGTTTATAAGCATTTGATAAACTCAAGTGCTCTCTATATGTAGGTGATTACAATGGAACTTCAACATCTATTTCCCAGAGTGGGGGCGGTGGTGGAGGAAGGAATCCAACTGCTGAACCCCAGCAGATCTCCAGGAGGGACTCCTGACAAGCTGGACAGCAGGCAAGTAGAAAAGATAAGGCTGGTCAGACCTGCCCTTAGATCTCCAAATCCCTGACACAGAAGAATTCTGATCCTACTATCTGGAGTAGAGGAGAGAGACCAGTGGAAAGAGCAATGGACTTGCAGCCTGACAGCCTCGGAATCCAGTTCCTGAAGTGTTCTTCCTAGCTGCCTAGTTCTCAAGCAGGTCCTCTCATCTTCCAAGTCTGTTCTTATGTAAGCACACACTTCCAACAGGTGCCCCTCACCTCTCTGCAGGGGAAGTGCCCTCCTAATGCAATCTGCTGCCCCTCAGTCCTATGCATTTCACTCTTATGCCTGGGCTGACTCTTTGGTGTAAGGAGTCAGTCTTGCTAGAACAGAGTCATAGTGCACACAAGACATATTTCATCTTTTTTTTTTTTTTTCCAGATCCTGGGATTGAACTCAGGCCCTTGTGCTTGCCAGACAAGTGCTTATTCTGCTGAGCTATCTCCCCAGGCCCCTATTTCATCGTTTTTAAAAAAATAAAATTCCCATGAGTTCAATTCCTGGTACTGCAATAAATAAATAAATAAATAAATAAATAAATAACATTCCCGTATATGTCAAAGTCTCCTCTGGATGATATTCTTTATTTTGAATTATCTTATGTTGACTGGATTTGAGAACTAATTTCTTGATTTTTTTTTTCCTGCAAGATAAGTGGAACTTCCCTTAAATTCATCTGAAAAATGGGAATGTTAATAGTACCTCCCCTGTAGAGCTATTGTGGAGATAAGTAAATTTATGAAGATAAAGTATCAAGATGGTGGGGTTTATAGTTAGTGCTAATATTCCTGAACCCTGGCTTTAGGGATTTTTGTCTTTAAGAAGACCATGTTTTAACCAGCTATTATTTTAGTTATGATACTGGTACAGGTTGGGTTTCCCAAGAAGCAGACTCTGAGACCAGGTTTAATTTGCAAGATTGTTATTAGGGAACTGCACTACAGAAAGGCAGAGGGAAGCAAAAGCTACAAAACAGCCCTGACAAAAGCCCTGGCCAGCCCTGTTCAAGCTCTGGAGCTAAAGGAGCCCCTCAGAATCATCTTGAGTTAGATCATTATATGCCTTTTTATTCATCCAGTGTGGGGCACTGAGGGACCATGACCATGGCTAGAACATCAGAGGCATGAATGTGGGTGGAGCAACTCTCTCCAGCTGAGCCCATCCTTGGGTCTGCTGCCAGGGAAGGCTGTCTTCCCACAGCACTCCCACCCAGCAGAGAGGGCAGTGATTTCATAAAAGGGGCCTGGCCAGTACAACATCACAGTGTTCCCACAAACACTGTGGGGTGAGGACAACGGTGAGGTGACATAGGGTGCCAACAATACCTTCTCAAATTTGTGTTCCAGATGTCACATCTGCCTCACCTTAGTCCCAAACTAGTACCTTCCCTAGTAGAGAATGAGGTGGAGGGTGGGTTGAAAATACTTGAACCTTGGAGGGTTGATAGTTACGTGCTAGATCTCTTCAACTGAGCACAGCCATCATTGTTGTCATCCTTCCAGCTCAGCTAAGTGCTCAACAGTCATTTGTTGAATACATTAATGAACAGTCTCATAGTAGTGTTTTCCTAGGCAGTTTAAGAGGTTTAGCTGCTTACTGAGTAATCCTGTTGAGTTCCTGAATCCACCCTTGTCTAACTTCATGCCACTCTGCTACTAGAAATGCTGAATCAGGACTAGCGTCTCAGCTCTCAGAACTGCAGGACTGGAAGACCATAGCCATATTTTTTGAGTGCCTACTGTGAGTAGGCAAGGCCCAATTGGTGGCCTTTCTCTCCCCCTCCCTTCTTCATTCACCACTCATCCTGCAGATAGTACTGCTGGGTAGTTTATCCTCCTTCCATAGGTCAGAGTACCTGGGCACAAGTAGATAGTCCCTACCCTATGTGTCCATGTCCCTTACTTCTCCCAGGCAGAGTCTGGTCAAGCACTTAAGTCTGAGGGAACAAGAGCAAAGTCAGCTAAGGCTGAAAGGAGCTTGGGGCTGAAGTTCATGCTGGAGCTAGGTACTGTAAGTTCCAGTCCCAGTCAACCATGAGCTAGTAATCTTAGGCTCTACCCTGAGCTCTGTAAGGTGAGGACCATGTTCCCTGCCATCACTGGATAGGTGCAAAGAGAGACTGAGGAGTGGAAGAGGGAGGTGTGGTGCCTCCTTAACTGGGTGGTAGCCCAGTGCTGGGGACAGTGGGCTTGCTGTGCACTTTCTCTTTCAGCCTTCACAACTTCAGGAGGAGACAGAGTTAATGCCGTCCTTCTAGGCAGTCAGCTTAGAGAAATTAAATAACCTACTGAACAGCACATAGGAGAAAGGGCAGACAGACAGGTGGTAGAACATGCAGGGCTCTTGAAGGTTGCTCTTACTTGTACTGTGTGTGTGTGTCTGTGTGTGTGTGTGTGTGTGTGTGTGTGTGTGTGTGTGTGTGTGCTGCATAAGCACCAAGTCCTTGGAGCAGTGGTGTGGCCAGAGAGGGATCAGGAAGGCTAACACAGCTCACTGTGTGGTGGTCTCAGGAGGGGCTCATTCCTGGCCCTCTTCTAGTAAGTGGCTCATGCTTGCCACTTTGAATGCCGCATCTAGATAGCAAGACACCCCGCTGACCACCTCAGCCTGCTGCATCCCAACAGAGATGAGCCAGTTATTATTGTTTATATTTCTTTTCAATAAACACATTCATTGTTTCTAGTAAAAAGTAATATAGGCCTGAGGCTAATTTCCAAACAATTTAGGAAGTATAAAGTGAAAAAACAGAGACGCTCAAGTTTTTCCTTTACATGTATATATTGTACACATTATACTAGATATACATTATGTATATAATATACATGCTTGGGCCAGGGAGATAGCTCAGCAGTCTGAGCACCTGCCTGGCAAGTGATCCCCAGTACTGTATGCCATATCCCCACTTGAGCCGGCTACCGAAACTGGGCATGGTGGTGCACACCTGTAATCCCAGCGCTGGGAGGCTGAGACAGGAGGATCACTAAGAATCTGAGCTGTGTAGTGAGACCCTGTACCAAATAAATAAATAAATAAATAAATAAATAAACAATTTATATATATAATATACATTTTTATGTGAATGAGATTATGATTTTATCTTTTATATTTTTAATCTTTTAAAGAGAATAAAAAATAAAAAAATTAGAAGTGATACAGAATTTCACTAAACAAAATGGATAGGAATTGTGATTTTCTTTAATTCAATTTTCCCTAATATATTTTGGAAAATTCATGTCAGTAAATATGATTCTACCTCATTCTTTTTAATGCTGACATTGTATATAATCTATTTCACTATCTCATATTAATGGAAATTTAGCTTGTTTCCTGCATTTCGCTATTACAAATAATGCTACAAGGAGATCCTTCCATATTTGCCCTTGAA